TTGGGCTGCGGATTTGGACCATAATACGGATTCGTCCTCCTCATCGTACGTACTCACAAATCCCCCTTTGGCAAATCAAAGACAAGAGAGGAAGGAAAGAGGTCGGAAAGGAAAGGCTGGCTAGCTGGAAGGGAATAAAAACTATACGCTTTTTTTCAATACTTAGCTTTCTTTATGACAGATCGTTTCTGTAGTTGCTGTATGATATGATGATTTGATCAAATAATAATACCTTCTACAAGGTCATTGCAGCAAGGTTATTGTACAGACAAAACAGTTGAGCAGATACGATTTTTCTCTTTCTTCCGAAACCTGATTATAGCAATCCACACAATTTGCATAGCCCACAACTAATTTCCACTTCGTGCAGCAATTTGTCTGGCTTTCTATGGGGTAAAAACCTATCTATGCCACATAATTAAAAACCCAACTTTATCAGCAGATAAACAACAACAAAATTTCACAAAAAAACAACCAATGGAGGAAGACAGACGGAAAGAGGGGAAAACATGAGTAAAACAACTAAAAAAACAAGGTAAATAAAAGGTAAAAATTATGAAGCACTTCATATTTCCATCCTAGCAGCATCCTCCTCTCTCCTTTTCAGTTCTCTGGATGATTCCCCATTCGAAAGCCCAAAACTCAAACCAAAGTCGGGGAACGGGAGTGCAGGCAATCAACACAAAACGACCTCGTCAACAACTCCGGCTCAAGAGCAAAAATATCACAAGTGGGTGGAAAAAAAAGGGGGACAAAATGGGAATCTGTTTGAAGTTGGGGCTGGGGGCTGGGGGCTGGGGGCTGGGGGCTGGAGGCTGGGGTCTGGGGGCCACATCATCATCATCGACATCACCCAGGGCAACTTTGTTGCTGGCACATAGTTGGGAGAGAAAAAAGTTCTGTTGAGGGTCGGGTCGGGCCGTGCCGGCTCTGGCTCTGGGACTGGGTTCTGCGGGGCCCTCTTTGCCGATTGCTAAGCAACGCAACAGTTTGCCATGGCTATAATACGTTATAATTTGTTATTGAGTTCTGTTCAGAGCAGCTGCAAAAATGCAGGAAAAACCGAGAGGAGAAATAGGAGCAGGAGCAGCCGGAGCGCTGTCTGAGCGGAGGAGTAGAAATGATATGAAAAGTACAAAAAAATAAAGGAAAACAAGAAAGGAAGACCGGCCTTGGACCGAAGCTATAGACACTCTTGCGTATGGATTGTTCCTACGGCAACTATATAGACTGTTTTATTTGATTTGTATGAAAATGAAAGATGCGTTTGTTAGCTTTGAATATTTTCAAAAGGTGCTTCCTGGGTGATGGTCTTAGAAGTTTCTAAAATATTACGATATCAATTATTAAGATAGAATCAATATACCCATTCCCATGCAAAGGTATACAAATAGGAGAGTCAAGAAAAGAGTCAAAACCGAACCAGAGGCTCCCTTCATTGGAATTTTTGGAGACATACACAGTACTGTACTGGTACTGGACTTTCCCTGAAGAAATGCCTTCTCATCAAAGTGTACCAGCATTCTTCGGTCTTTATTGGGAAACGAATGGAGAATACTGGAGAGGAAAAGAGGAAAGGGTCTCTGAATGTGTCATAAACGCTCTTGTTGTAGTGACATTGTCCTTGTTGCTGGTTTTTGGTCCCATAAGGAGAGAGAGAGAAAGCTTGACGAAAAAAAAAACTGTATATGTATATGATTGGCAACAACAGCTTTTCAGTGCCACAGTCGAGTCGAGTCCACATTTTTTTTTTTTTTTAATATTTATTTCATGTTTCCTGCCATGCCATACTCCTCTCTCCACCGCTATCTGTATATACATACATATATATATAGAAATCATTCTCTCCTTTTTTTCTGTCGGTATGCTTTATGAAATTGATGCTCGAAAATCGCACTCAATTAGTGGGGATTTTATATTTATTTATTGTTGCTGTCGCAGCGGCTGCTTTTGGGATCAACTGAAGAAGAAGGAACGAGAAGGACGGCACGTGTGTTCTTAGAATGGAAATGGCGGATTCTGGGAAATCAGTTGTTTGGCTCAAAGGGTGTCAGCTTGTATCCGCTTGATTAAATTTATTGCTTATGTGCCTCGAAAGGGAGCAAAGCAGGGGCAAAGCGAGCAAATGATACAAGAATATTCTCAGTATATTACTAAGCAGTGTTGCAATTATTTGACTTCTCTTCTACTAACTGATACCTTCAATATCTTAAGCTATACAAAGATCTATAAGTAGTACTAAGTTAAAAAGTTCAGATAGTTAGAAATAATCATTTGACATGAGGGTATCTTTTGTCTAGTGCAGAAAACAGCAAAAGCTTTATCCGTCTTTGATTTCATCTACTTGAGATTTTTATACCCGATACTCAAAATGAGTATTGGGGTATATTTGATTTGTGGTGAAAATGGATGTGTGTAACGTCCAGAAAGAATCGTTTCCGACCCCATAAAGTATGTATATTCTTGATCAGCATCAATAGCCGAGTCGATTGAGTCATGTCGGTCTGTCCGTCCCTATTAGCGCCTAGTGCTCAAAGACTATAAGAGCTAGAGCAACGACATTTTATATCCGGACTTCTGTAATATTTCTCCCCATCCCCTTCCGCCAACACAAAAGACGAAAATCTGTGGCAACCATAATTTTGAAGATAGGAGAAAATTAAAAACGCACAATCATAGAGAATGGCCATTGCCTAATCTTGCCGAATCCGAATCCGAATCAGATCGGATTATCATTATAGCCAAAAGTAACAAATCAATTTGCAGTGGCTACGCAGCGCCCGTCGACACGTTCTGATTGATTTTCTGTCTCTCTCGCACGCACTCTTTGGAACGTTGTGACTTGCTGCTGCGACCGCAACTCTAGTTGTGCCCAAGTTTGGGCACACATGTCCTCCCATTCCACAATCTACACTTAACGATCCAATGGTCTGTCGAGGATTCTCGATGGACTTGCGGGAGTGGAGTTTATATTATACAACGAGTCGGTACGTTGAAAACCGCAGCTCAGGACCGCAAGTCTACTGTTACCCGGTACTCACATTGGTAGGAAAGGCAAAGCAGACCGCGCATCTTTCTCAATTTGGCTTGCATTGCACTTGAGAGATCATGAGAGATACAAAAAAAAATGCAGAGAAAGAGAGGAACCGCGATCTCTAGTTCCTCTATATTTTCTTTATGACTTTTACCTATATCTATACGATTCTAATATACATATACTTAGTCAGTATATCTCTCGTCTGCCCTGCCCCGGCAGACGACGCGTACATTGAGCGACATGAAGTGTTTGCGAGCGAGACAGAAAATCAATATCAGACACGTTCATAGCGTGTAGCGACCGAAAATTGATTTGTTACTTTTGACTATAATAATAATCCGATCTGATCAAAATTCGGCAATCTGGTACATATGGTCATTCTCTATGATTGTGCGTTTTTAATTTATCTTCAAAATTGTAGATGCCACAGATTTTCGGGTTTTCATCATTCTGGCTATAATAATTTTACGATCTGGTTCAAATTCTGCAGTCTAGAAGATATTGTCATTATCTGAGTTTTTGGTTATTTCGTATCTTTAAAATTGTGGATGCCACAGATTTTTACCCTTTGTGGGGGCGGAAGTGGGCGGGGCGAAGCTTTGAAATATACTGGTAGCAGTGACATATCACATACGAGTATAAAATGTCGTTGCTCTAGCTCTTATAGTCTTTGAGCACTAGGCGCTCATAGGGACGGACAGACGGACAGAAAGGCAGACAGTGCTCAATCGACTCGGCTATATGTATATACTCTATGGGGTCGGAAACGCTTCCTTCTGGAATTTACTTTCACCACAAATCTCATTTTGAGTATCTGGTATAAAAAATGAGCCCGATGGGATGTACAGGAAAAGTACAAATAATCGAAATTGAAGCACCATTGAACCATTGCACGGTTTACTTATCCAATCAGATCCAGATTCTAGCATGTTCCTGAAGTCAATTCGCACACTCAATTCATGTTTCCAAATAACATAATTTTGAGCAAAAGAAATACTTAACAATATTGCTGCAAACGGTCAACAATTTAATTCCACGTAATTGAGGAGCAACCTCAGCATAAGGAGCATGTTGGCCAGGTACAAAACATTTCCAATTTCATTCTAATTATACAGCCAGGCTCCGTTTTTCACATTCACAAAAGTTTTCCGATTTACTTTTGAATACACATAAAATGGGGCTCCCGTTTTCACATTCCGCAAGAATTATTCGTTTTCAAAACGAAAACATTCCCGTTGACGAAATTAAAAGTAAACGGCTTTTTATACAACGAAACGAACCTTAATTGCAAAAGGAAAAAAATAGATGACTTATTGATGCATTAATATAAACTTGACACCTATGTATATCAGGGTAATTTAACTTTTGCTTTCTTTATAAATAATTTTATTTTAACCCAACCTCAAATTTGGCGGAGCCTGCCTGATAAATCTTAATGCAATTCGAATTGCTTCCAAGGAGTTCAACACTGCGAATTTTATGCATATTTGAAATACCGTCAGAGAAAATCTAATTTACAAATATTTTAGAAGGGCTTACATGCATCGTTTTCGATAGTTTGCATCATCTGGTCCAGATCTCTGAATAGTTCCGGGGTATTTTCCGGCAGTTCATCAGTTCGGTAGAACCGAACTTAACTTGAACTTGAACTTAATTAATTAATAAAACAGCCATCTGGTAACTCTGTTCCGCACACACACATGCACATCTGATTCACGCCAGCTGCTCGGACAAGAGTTGCCTGATGTTGTACAGAAAAAGCAAGAAGCCGCGTGGGATGAAAAATTCAGAAACTTTTGCTAAATTCTAACAAATCTACGATTTTAACAAAGAAGTCGCTCGATTGATTTAATATTGAGTACTCGCTGCACATATTTGCTCTGCCGCATTTTGTTTATTTTGCTGTGCTGTTGGTTTATTGTAAGTGGTCACTGGCTAAGCAGCGCATTTAATTTTTTGCAAAATGGACGTACATCGCCTCATCGCGGAAGTACAGCAGCGGCGTGCTCTGTGGGATACAAGCATTCCCTTTTTAACCCGCAAGGTCGAATGGAATATACAGTGGATGGATGTGTCTGACGCTCTGAAGCTGGACGGTAAGTTTCGGGGCGCGTCACATTTTACGCTGCGCTTCTATTAATGCACTATTGTCTCCCAACAGTTGCGACATGCAAGAAGCGCTTCAATAGACTGAGGGACAAGTACCGCTGCGAGATCCGGAAGATACAGCAGGGTAGCGTTCAAGAGTCCAACTGGACGTACTTTCGCTGCTTGGAGTTCATGCGCTGCATATACGATCCAACCGGTCTCGTGGCATTCGCCCCCGAGCCCTACGAGTATAAATCTGAGTCGGAAGAGTGCTCCAACGACAATGATAAGATACTGTGGGATAACCTTGACTTCGATCTGGACAATGATGATTCGATAGATTTTGTAACTATGGGCGACATATTCAATCGTGACTCGCCCGAGACACCTCTAATGCTGGTCGGGTCTTCGTCCTCGTATGACGGTCCCATATGGAATGACAACTACCTGATCAACAGTCAAATGACAACAACAAACGAAGCGGACTCACTTCCAGTAGCCAGCAGTCCTTCAAGATCCGAGTCCGAAGACGATGCTGACTACAATTTTTTGGCTAGTCTTATACCGCACTTGAAGTCCCTCTCGGAAACGGGCAAACTCAAATTTCGCATGGAAGCTAGCCGCATTCTGATGGAACTAAAAAATGAGGAGGCTACCCCTGAACCCCCCGGTATGGATGCTGATACGGATCCAAATACATATTTTATACCCAACAGCGATATGAACGACTATGAAGGCGATACGATGGGCGAGTGCGAAGTTAAGATAGAAAATGAACCTTTGCTATAAGGTTCATAGATGTGGAATGAACATGAGAAACTATAAGCCGGAGAACATGGAACAAGGAACATGGAAAAAATGCACTTAATCAAAATCCACATATATTCTAGTAATTCTTATCACCTTATTGAATATGTTTTTCCAAAATATATATTATGGTGGCAGATAATGCCCCGAAAGAGTGGATCCTACTACTATCTGTCATACTAAGAAAGACAATTCTGATCATGTTCATGTACAAAGCTGAGCACCGATACATTGCAGCCAGGGCTCACAAGGTTCTATATCCATGTCGCGTAGGATAAATACTAGATTAATTAGTAATAGCCGAGAGAGATGTATGAGTCAGGTTAACTGAGTGGAGCTGGGAACAGCGTTGTCACAAATAGTGCCCCAGTTCGTTGACTGATAGCCAGGAGACGTGTCTGGAGCGGGCTGCGAACACGTTTGAACACGAACGCGTTCTGTGCAGTGCCGCCAGCTTAGCCCATTTCAGGTTAGGTCGAGCCTTTTTAAAAGTTGACTAGCTTATAATATTTGCAAATAGCTTATATAAGCTTTTTAGCATATTTTGAAAAAAAATTCGGGTTATTGTAGCTTTAAATGTAAATTTCATCTTTTCTGGATTTTTTGTTGGGTTATTTTTGGTGTAGAGAAAGAGGGATGGTGCGCTCTTTTGCACAACATGGAAACATCGGAAACGTAAGGAATACACACCAGATAATAATATATCCCTAAGCTCATTGACTATTAAAATCACTTCATAATTATGGGAAGTAATAATTTATAAAGCTTTTGCTGAAACACAACCTCAATGAATATTTAAATATTTTACAGTTTAACTCATACACATTGCAGATGTGTTCTACATGTGTAATGTCTCATGTCAAATGTAAATGTAATGTAACATAACAAAGCTCGTAAAGTTCATTTTTTCGCCGCCAGAGGCAGGAGCTTTAACTTTACAGTCATCTTCTGTTAACGTAAAGGGGAAGCCATCTATCTGGCGCCCTCTTTTTGCACACTCTAGCTAGCGTCTTTTTATTGAAACTCATGGTTGGCGTTTCGGTTAACAAAAATCGCCACCAGGTGTGCTTTTGTGAAACACTATATACCACGGCACGCCACCAAGGATCTTTTTGTTACAAATAGTGATGCCGGTCCCTCGATATAAATATCGATAGCTAGAAAGATAAATTCTATAATATTTCGAGTTCGAAAAGAAATATAACTAAGCGCGCACATTTAAATTTCGAATTTCTAAGAAGGTCATCGATTGAACGGATATATCGTTTGAACCTGCTGGAGGGCCACCTAATGCTTTGCTATGGTGAGGAACGGCTTGCCACTGGTGGCAACGATCATTGTTCCCCCAAAGTTTCTTTGAATCCCTTATTAGCGATTCCAGCTGCTGCTGCGGTAGTCTGATCTGCACACCTACGATGGCTCCCAGTTCGAGGACAAGTCTGCCCTAGTCTCTTCCAGCGCCAGGGCAAAGCCAGGAGCCAGCTATGTGTCGTTAGTGTGTTTGTGGCGGGCACGCTTAAAAACAGGAAATTTACTTTATGCGTTCTTAAATGACAGGCCCCAGGATGAGGACCAGGACCCGCAAGAGGATGAGAATGTACATAAATGCGCTGGAGGAACGTAAGCAGAGAAGAACGGGTGAAGCTCGAGGAGGAGCTGGGGCCAGAGGCATAACGATTACATTAGAAGCAGTAAAATTTTACAAAAATGCTGTACGTGAGCTGCCTCTTTGAATATGTAATGACGCCACGGAGAGAGTGCAATTTAAACACGCACATTGACACACTCTAATGCACAGACTGAAACACCCAAACACACTCCCGCAGTTACTAATGCTCACGTAGGGCAACCACAAGCGCCAAAAATTCTATTTGTGGTTAAAGCGGCCAACTTTATTACGGCTAAAAGTATGCAAAAAAAATAGTGAAAAGATGAAAGCCCCCTGGCAGGAGGGGCACTAAAAAAGGCAGGGAAAATACATTTTACTATCAATTTTAGGGCCAGCATTAATTTGGGCAAAATTTTCGGCTCTCCAGTTGGATCAATTGTGGCCTACGTTTTATTTTGCGCCAGCTGGTGGAGGAGGATTTGTTGGTGGCGGCTAAGGTTAGGAGTATGCTTGTGGGTGAGTGGGTGATTGGGGGGCCACCTGTCAAAACTCTGGCTGTGCTGGCTGTGGCAACGCCGCTGGATTACGGACAGTGGGTCTAAAGATTCTCATTGAAATTTGTATTTGGAAAATGGTTAATTCCAAAGCATTTGTGGCAAAAATTGTATGCCATTATGGAGCATTTGGAATAAAATATCAATTGGAATTGAAAATGGAATTGGCAAAACTCGAGTCCTAGAGACACTGGGATAACGAAAGGAAAGACTGTCCTGCGCCGAGCTGAATAAATTTGAAACACTTTCGCTATTGTTTGTTCCACTGTTCGCCGTCTGTTCAAAAATCCCATTCAACGTGACAAGGCCGGAGCCGAGGCTGAACCCATCGTCCAGTTCGGTCTGCTCTGACCAGACGCTCGTAGGCGGCCTGCGGTTTTCATTACATTTTAGATTTTTAACGAGTACATTTTGCAGTCGTTGTCGTCGTCGGCCTCGTCATCAACATTCGTCATCGTCCTTCCCATGCCCCCAGCTCCTGCCCCTACACCGCTCCGCTCCAACAGTTTCGGCTGCAACTTAAGCGGCTTTTCCCCTATTTTCGTTTGTGTGTGTGTGTATGTGGGGGCGAGTGTGTTAGAGAGAGCTGCCCCGGACGGTGGCAATTTAGCTAAAACGGTGAAGCACACGCCTACCTGCGCCCACAAAAACGCACTACACAAATTACTATTTATGTGAGTGCCCCAATGGGCGCCACCTTCTCTCTGCTCTTCTGTAGCGCACTCCGTTGGTGCGGTTGAAATGAGCAAATTGTGTGCGATTGTGGCAGCCACAAAGGAAGGAAAATCTAAAAAAAAAATACGGTTCGAAATAGGAGAAAGAGCAGCTCTAGTGCACTGGGCTTTCTCTGCTGAAATTTGGGTCACGTGGTTAAAGTCTCCTCTGGTCCTCTGCCTCGTTTTACCATATTTTAACAAGCTTACTTAAAATAAATTAGATTTACTAAACCACAAAAAGGGCAGCCCCGAATAACACTCCGCATTGAGAGAAAATCGAAACCTACATTGTATGTACTATGTATGTACGAAACTAATGTGAGGAAATCAGTGCAAGTGTGGAGAGGATGGCCACAAAACAAACAGGACTCGAAATGGACATAGGTCTGGCCTTGGGGGTATCTGACCTTACAAGAGGGCTGGCAGGATTGGCCAGGACGAGGCAATTTTATGGCCAGACACGCAATTTGCGCCCTCGTCTATCTTCTAGTGTATGGGATTGGGCTCTTGTGCGTGTAAATGAGCCAAAAGACAGAAGAAAAATGGCCAACTATTTGCCATTTTAGTCACAAGGGACCAGACGACTTGGCCGGGGGAGAAGGAGAGCAGGGCTAACTGGTTGGAAATTCGATTATAGTTCCAATGAGAGGGGACTCCACCATGACGTCAGTGGGCAGTTCTCAGATGAAGGGTCCCTCCTGCTAAAGGATGACTGGCAGTACTGAAACTGTAAGCAATACGCTCTGGTCGTACATCTGACTGATCAAGCAGGATAATCGGCATCCGGTTTGCAGGAGGCTTTCTCTGCGCTCAGAGTGGGTGAAATAGACAAATTGCATGTGACTCGGCGGCCCCTGATATTTATAGCCCCAGCCAGTCTCAGTCCTAGTTATAACCCTTCCTTCAGTCCCACTAACAGTCCAAGTCCCTGTCTCAGCCGCAACTGGGGAAACTTGACGGGCAATTTGGCAAGCAGAACTCTGGTAGCGTAACTAACATTTATATTTGTCGCCAGGAGTGCCGTCTGAACAAACAAATGTCACACATAGCACGACGACGGCGATGGCGACGGCGACGGTGACGACGATGACGAGTGGCAGGCAGGGAGCGGGAACTCCCATCGAGGACTGACTTTGAGGTCTCGTCGTTCCGCTCCTGTCAAGCGGCCGCCATTCAGCTCGCATGCAAATCAGCGAGGCGCCGGGATGCGAAACGGGTGGCTTGGCCCGCGCCGTTCAGACGGAATGAATGGGCCGAACCAAATGTTCAATTTTATGGGCCAACTCCCAGTCGTTCCTTTAGGCGTTCACATGTACTCTCCTGGTAAAGAGCCTTGGTGGATTATTAAAATATGAACTGCTTTGAACTATCTCTTAGTCGGACCATTAATAAATTCATTATTATGTTGTACAGCTAGGATACCCCGATTCTTGTTTTTTATGGGATAGCTAAGACAAAAAAATTCCCAAAAGTAGTCCACCTTGTTTAATTTTCAGGCCAGAACCATGGGCAATAAAAGAACTTTGAGTGAAAACTCCAGAGAGTTGGCCTATACCCTTTATACATATATCATTTTAATACAACAAAACCTCGACGCCTCTTTGTTTGATTCTTTGGGTCCTCGATCTAAGCCCCCAACCCCATAACCACTTTCGGTCAGTTCCCTATTGGATTGGGAGTCTGGCTATCTCCGTATAACTAACTAAAAACCATTCACTTACAAAAAATCCCAACAACAGTCAACAACTAACCAACTGGGCAACGAAAACCAATTCAATTTGATGTACGAGCTTCAAAATAAATCTGAGCGGGGAGTTTAGGGTCTGAGGGTCCTTTGCTCTCAGCATTTCTAGGGAGATATCCTCTATATGGCCAAAGCATATTAAAATTCAATTACTTTGCATGCTCTGGCAACACAAGTGCAGCGAGAAATTAAATGAAATAAATTCTCAGTTCAGATTTTTAATGAAAAAGAGAGGGTTACAAAATAGATGATAAAAACAACGGAAATTCTCTAAAAATAGTAACAAAGATTGCTCATACGCACTGTGACTGTGTGACGCGCACAACAGCGCAGCAGTGCAGGAACAATCCAACAGAACGGAAAGAGGAGGAGGAGGAGGAGCAGGAGGAGGAGCAGGAGCTCTGAAATACTAAACTGTCCGGCATGTTTGATGCACAAATCCCTCAACTGAAATAGATTTACGT